TCACAAAGATGTTGAGGGAAAAGCATACCTTTGGGACAGAGTTGAAGGGGATTTATCCTTCATCGATTACCTTAGAGAGATTCCCAAAGTGTGGATCTTGACCCCTGGGAAGAGAATTTGGGGCCGTATAATCCATGGCAAGAATGGATATAGCACTGAGGTTTGAAAGCTACTCGACCTCTTTAAGGTGCCATTATATTCTGCCCATGGGAGTCGCTTAATTATCTGATCTCTGTGGCCTGATTTCTGTTAGCCATCATAAGCTGTTAAAAATGTGGGTCTTTGCTTTATCTTTCAGGATGAACCCAACAGTTTTAACCCCTTGTCCACCACTTGCTACCCATTCAACAAACTCTCTAACCCTGTGTTTCCCAAACATTTTCCCACCATGACCCCATTTCAACGCTTGTACATTGCTATGCTCCCATAGTTAGAACTGAGTTGTCCAGGTGGGAGAAGAGCTTAGTCCCCATCCCCAGTATTATCCACATAACTTACATACCCCTGGACACTATGGGCAATTTAACATGGCCAAACCACCTAACCTGCATATCTTTGTGACTGTGGGAGGAAACCAGAGCAGACTCACACAGACACAGGGTGAATGTGCAAACTCCATTCAGACAGGTGTCCAAGGGTGGAATCGAACCCAGGTCCCTGGTGCTGTAAGGTAGCAGTGCTAGCCACTGTGCCGCCCCAGATTTTCTTCCTTATGTCCCTTACTCCTCAAGTCTTTGACTGAATTTATTTGTGTTGGTAGGTGGATCAGGAAAGTGTATAAAGAGGTATAGAAACAATACATAGAGGTAAAATTGGTGGGCTTTCTGTTTCTCTGCTGGCTTTTTTAGATCAGAGATTAAATCAACCTGGCAGCCTGGCCACATGCTCTGCTCAGATTGTACAAACCAAGGGATCAGTCAAAGGTTGTTTCAATTGCTGGATACACTGTCACTTAAGCAGGAAGTTCCTGTGGGAGGAAGCTTGATGGCTAGGCTGGGACACTGAGGTGATGACCGTTTGAAAAGGTAGGATCCTTGGCTATATCTAAAAGCTATAGTCAGCACTGCACAGGCAGTTTTTCTTTGAAGGTCCCCTTATTCGGATAGGTTTCAATGTAAGGCAACATCTTGGCACAGTAAGGTTTATCGTAGTTCGATGTCTACCTCGTCTGGAATTAGCAGCCTTTCTGGGAAGCGATGTGAATTATCCTACTATTTTCTCATGGAAACAAGTTGCTTGGTAAAGTAGGATGTTAAGTATTTAATCTGCACTGTATCACCAGTCCTGAGGTGAGCAGGGTGGAGCAGTAAATGAGCAGGGCAGTAAGAAAATCTGGATTTTTCACTGTCTGAACCACAGATTCTGCCGCTGTACTGGGTTAGGGTAGCTTGGCAAACCTGCTACAGGTTGAAAGCCTAGTGTCTATCCAAATGCTCTGAACATCTCATTAGCAAACTGCTGGAAACAACAACTTCTGCAATACTGTGGGCAGTGAACATCTGCCACAAGGCTCCCACAATGGTTTCAACGGTCATTGATGTCAGTTTTACAACCTCAAACTATCTCGAGTAGTAATTGACCATGATGAAGTAAGAGTGGGCTTCATGGATGAAGAGGTCCATGCCTAAATGGGCCAGGAAAAACTGTAGGATTGAGAGCTTTCCATCATTCTCTACTACACATGGCACATGTATATAATTAGCTACAAGGTTTTCTAACTGTTTCAAGATCTCCAGCAACCAAACAGCCCCACACCTCCGCATCACTGCTCTTGCCTTGCACTTGGTTATGCCAAACTGACCTTTCCTAATCTTCTGAAGAAGATTATTCTACAATGAGTGGGGAGTTAACAGCCAATGACTAAAACCAGTACATTTTCAATGGCAGAGAGATGCTGCCTGTGTTTGTAGCAAGTCTCCTGAGCAGGGACTATGCGTCAAACTGCAGGCCATCTTTGGGCACAAGGATGCTCTTAGGGTCTTTCCTTTTGTTCCTCATAGAATCCCTACAGTTTGAAACAGGCCATCTGGCCCAACAAGTCCACACTGCCCCTCCGAAGAGCCAGACCCATCCCCCTATCCCTGCATTTCCCATGTCTAACCCTCCCAACCCAAACATCCCTGGGCACTATGGGCAATTTAGCATGGCCAATCCACCTAACCTGCACATCTTTGGACTGTGGGAGGAAAGCAGAGCACCCAGTGGAAACCCACGCAGACATGGGGAGAATGTGTAAACTCCACACAGACAGTCGCCCAAGGCTGGAACTGAACCTGGGTCCCTGGTGCTATGAGGCAGCAGTGCTAACCGCTGAGCCACCGTGCCACCCCGTTCCTCCAGGATGAGGCTAAGATAATTGGGTGAGGCTGGCCAAGATAATGTGGTTTGTTGGGCATCAGTCCCAAAATTAGTGCAGTCTAATGTGAAAACATCGGCTGTGGCTCTAAACAGAGCATTTGCCAATGTCTGGTATCTGTCATGGACATACTGTCATGAACCTTAGCAGGCCCTGAATGGTTTATGGTGGGAAACTTGCGTGAGATGTCAAGCAATGTCCTTCTGCTGGTTGAGGTCAAAATGTCAGATTTTGCAACCAAGATCCAGGCATTGAGATCAGATTCTTGTTTGGGATTGGCATGAGTCGTATGAACAAGGACTATTACTCATTATCACCTTCATTATTGCTTAATTTTGCTTTGTCAATATATACTCTCCCATTCTACCACCCACTGGATAGAAAATATCTGCATTCCTGACATAAAAGCGTCTCCAGCTCACTAACTTATAGTCATAGGGTCATACACCAGTCAAACTCCTATGCTGTAGTGAAAAAAGTCCCAGCCTATCCAGCCTCTCCTTATGACTCAAACGCTCTTGTGAATATTTTCTGCACTCTTTACAGTTTAATAGTAACCTTCCATCTTTGACACTAGTCACTAATGCCTCAGGGCGTACTCCGTTGGGAGTGACTACATGTACCCTACATTCACGGATATCAGAATCCCACTGGCCTCACCGCAGCATCGTGGTACTTCTCTGACCCCTTAGTGTATGGTTCAGCACACTATGTTACACCTTGGAGCGCACTGTCATTGGAATACTGTTGCAAGGACATTTTGTGGGCAGGGACATGCACCCAGCTCACTGACTGGACCAGGCTGCATCTCAAGGCTGCTGGCTTAGCACTCTCCAGAGGTGTGTAGGAGGCAGCTCTGCCAGGATGTCCTGCAAGTAATCTGTGCTCCCTTCCTCAGGAAGTGGATGACAGGAATGTGCAGCAATGTCATCCTCTTGACACCTTGGAAATCCCATTTGTCCTACAGGAGACAAAAGACAGAATGCATTTGCAGTGGGGACGATGGGGGAAGAGCACAAACTAGTTATTTCACTGGTGGCCAGAACATGAAGATTTCAACATTTCCCCATGATTGGTCCTGGAACCCCACCAGCCACCCTGACTCTCTTGGTCATTTCCTCCTGAAATATGACAAAGAGAGTGTTTGAGTGAGATGAAAGTGAGGCGGGGGGTGCAAGTGGGAGAATGGTGAAAGAGTGAAAAGGTGGTGCAGAAGCTATGCAGGGTTAGTGGACTAGAAGCTTGGGAGCAAAGGAGAGTGAGCGAGGGAAGATGTTGCAACTAACTGTGAGAGTGATACAGCATGGGTTTCATGGGGATGTGGGTGCAGTAGCAGAGACAGAATGAGTGTGAGGGATCAGAGAGAAGATGGAGGCACTTACCTTGGTGGAGCTGAGAAGATCATTGACCATCTTGCAGCATGGTGCTGCACTAGGTAGCATGGTGGCTCAGTGGTTAGCACTGCTGTGTCACAGCGCCAGGGACATGGGTTCCATTCCACACCCTCAGGCAACTGTCTGTGTGGAGTTTGCACATTCTCCCTGTGTCTGTGTTGGTTTCTGCTGGGTGCTCTGGTTTCCTTCCACAGTCCAAAGATGTGCAGGTTAGGTGGATTAGCCATGCTAAATTGCCTGTACAATCCAGAGATGTGCAGGCTGTGTGGATTAGCCATGGCAAATGTGGGGCTATGGGGATGAGGTGGGTTTGGGTGGGATGTTCTCCGAAAGGGTGGTGGGACTTGATGGGCCAAATGGCCTCTTTCTACACAGTAGGAATTCTATGATTCCTCTGTACTGTGGAGGTAGCACTGACCAAGGCAGACATCTTGGACCAGGCTGGCCAGGCCTGGCGTTGCAGCCTCCTCTGGCAGTCCTGCGAGAGAAGACAGTGCCACCTCCGTACCACCCTGACCACTAGGACCGTGTCTGCAAAATGGGGTTCAAATTTCCCACTGTTTTCTAAGAACTGGGCAAATGTCCACAAACATGCAGGGAAGCTCCAGACTGCCAGCCCTTGGATGGGTGCATCATGGCCAATTAAATATATCACCAACGTCAGGGGTCCCGGGATACTGTGGTTGGTTCGCTCACCGAGCTAGTTCGTTAGCTCGCAGGTGTTTCATTACCCTGCTGGGTAACATCATCAGTGCAGCCTCCGATGAAGCTTGGTTGTGTTTTCCCACCTGGTATTTTAAACTCTGGGGTCCGTTGGAGTTGATTATCTCATTTCTGGTATTTCTTCGCAGTGGTCTATATGTAGGGTCTAATTTTACATATTTATTGATGGCCTTCTTGGTGGAGAACCAGGCCTCCAGAAATTCCTGTGTTTGTCTCCGTTTGGCCTGTCCTAGGATCCTGATGTTGTCCCAATCGAACTGGTGGTTCTCCTTATCCATGTGAATAGAGACATGTGAGTATCGGTCGTATCTTTTTGTTGCTAGTTAGTGTTCATGTATTCTTGTGACCAGTTTCCTTCCTGTCTGTCCAATGTAATGTTTGTTGCAGTCCTCACATGGAATCTTGTATATCACGTTGGTTCTGTCCATAGTGGGTAAGAGGTCTTTGGTTCGAGTTAGCAGTTGGCATAGGCTTTGTGTGCCACTCTGATGCTCAATGGCTGTAGGACTCTTGTGGTCAGTTCGGATATGTTCTTGTTGTTCTACGAAGAGAAACCGAAAATGAGGTAATCAACTCCAACGGACCCCAGAGTTTAAAGCCAACCAACTGCAGCATCCACAACCTGAGCTACAAATCTACTCAAGTACCTTAGTCCTGGGATACCCCAACAGAGGTGAGTATTTCCGCCTACAACAATTTGCAGAATTGGATTAGCATCGGATGAAAGGCACATGGTAGATAGTTAATGGATAATCTGGCCATGGAGGGAATGCGAAGTAGGTTTTCCAGACTGATGCCTGGGATGGCAGAGCTCACATATGAGGACAGACTGGATCAGTTAGGACTGTATTCACTGGAGTTTAGAAGAATGAAGGGGATCTCATTGAAACCTATAAAATTCTCACAGGACTACACAGAGTAAAGGCTGGAAGGATGTTCCTGATTACTGGTGAGCTTAGAACCAGGGGTCACAGTCTAAAGATACGGGTGGGCCATTTAGGACTGAGATGAGGAGAAATGTCTTCATCCAGAGAGTGGTGAGCCTGTGGAATTCTCTACCACAGAAAGTGATTGAAGCTAAAATATTGAATGTTTTCGAGAAGAGTTAGAGATATTTCTTAAGACTAAAAGGACCAAGGTGTAAGAGGAGAAAGCAGGAACAAGGAACTGAGTTGGATGATCAGCCATAATCATATTGAATATCTCTATGAGGTGAGTTTGGGGTGATTGCATGTGAAATCTTGCTGGGTCTTGTGGAGAGAAACTCTTCATGAAGCCCAAACTTCTGCCATACATCTGGTGAGTGGCCTAATGTCTATACTTCAACTTAGTCTGGTCCAATAGAACATAGTACAGGCCCTCCAGCCCATGAAGTTGTGCCAAACCTTTACCCTAAAGTCTATCTATCCCCCTCCCCTATCTTGTACTAGCATCCATATGCCTATCTAATATTCACCTGAATGCTGACACCTAGCTGATTTCATGTAAGATTCAGTCCATCGAGGCTCACATAAGAATTGTATAAGGCTGCAGCAAAATTGCTTATATGAGGAGTCATTTTTGCAGACTCCTTTTCAATCAATAAGGAAGTCAACAGTTTACTATTGGTCTCGTCATGACTTTGAAGCTTGAAATGTGATCAGAAATGTTTTCACAGGCCCATGTAACTGCTGAAACTTCTTTCCTGATGATGGTATACTGGGTTTCCATATCCAATAATGCCCTTGAAATGCAATTTAAGGGTTTGGCTGGACTATATCATCTACTTTGATGTGATGTTTTAGGCAACATCTGTGTCAAGACACTGTAGCATTGGATTACATAGGATTGCACATTGATATTGTCACATATGTATATTTTTCAGACGGAAGGTCTATCTCCTCTGGTCAAATGTCTTATTTAGTCAACACATGCTGTAGAATATTCTGCATTAAATGGAATTTTGTTGTACAATGCTTCTTAAACAACCTTTTAGACTCTCTAACATCTGCTATGTAGAGAACGCATTCTAGAGTTTTATCCTCCATTCACTGAAGAAGTTCAGTTACTGACTTATGGAAGACAATGACAATTCTGTAACAAATAAGATATTGTAAGTTTGGAATGTTGCATGGTTCATATAATTTATATGAGCCATTATTGAAGTTATCAACAGATTCCTGGAAGTTGGCATCTGCTGTTGAAGCATGAATTCATCAATGTTCTTTTTGTTCTTAAAGTGAAATGTTGATCAAAAGCTGTTGGATTGTCAAATGTAATTTTTTTCTCATTGATCTCTTGTCTACGTAACACATCATCTGATGTTCTTCCCATATAGAGAAGTATGCTAACTTGTGTTGCCTTTGATTTGGTATCCAGTCTTGAAGCTGTTCAAACCCTTAGTTATTGTACTTTTCACATTTTGCCAATTTGCTGATCCATCAAATGGATCTGATAGTTTGAACTTTTTGGTTGGAAAGATCAGTGCAGGTGAATTTTATTGCATTAGCTGATTGTTAATAGCCATCTGAAGTTATTGAATATTTTTGACCTTGATGATCATTGTTAAGATTTTGATTTCCTTGAACTGCAGACATTTTATTGCATGCTTAGTTAATGGAAATTATTGTTGAACATTTGTTGTTGCAAAGGTTGCAGTTCTAGTTCTAAAACTGAAAGGTTTCTGCTGTTCCAAACATCATTTTTTTGATGTAAAATTAGCTTTCTTTTGTTAATGTGGCATCTTCATAGAAATGAACAAAAATGCCTGAAGATTTCTAAAAGATCTGCAGGTTGACATTTTCTCAAAATAGTGGCAATCAATAAAATTCAAAGGCTTCTGACTCTACCAAAGATGGCAGCTATGATGTCTTTTGCACTGACTTCTTCCCTTTACAAACAAGTGCTGAATTCAACACCACGTGCTCAGATTTGTGCTATTGTTCTTTCTTCCTGATTTGTTGCCTTTTTTTAACCAATTAGAGTCATTCAAACATTTTAGCTGCTGAATAAAACTTGAATTTTTTGCTCAAACAATTGAAATAATAAAAATTCAACAAACTTGACTTACATTCTGAAATATCAAATTCTCATAAATGATTTTAATTTTTGATTTTGTCAGTTGATTTACTTTAAGTATGTTTCTGAATTTATTTGTTGTTAATTTTGTCATTGAGTAAATAGGTTTGTTATTGTTTAATTACTATTAGAAGTCTTGGCTCTGTTTCTCAGTCAACTTTTTCATAGGAAAACAAAGCATTTTTAAATGTCGCTTTCTTCCTTCTCAGAAGTCAAAATGACTTCAGGCATCTAGCAATCAACTTTTTTCTCACCCCAGTGCTCAATTCTGGTTTATCCCTTTGACTGCTAGTTGACTTTTACTACTCTCACTGTTTAATTATTTAAAAAAAATTGTTTCCCCTATTTCTTGCTGTAAAAAGCTTTTAGTCACAGTCATTGTCATAGAATTATACAGATGGAAACAGACTCTTCAGTCCAACCAGTCCATGCTAGACACAATCCAAACTAAACTAGTCCCACCTGCCTACTCCTGGCCCATGTTCCTCTAAACCTTTCCTGTTCATGTACTTATCCAAATGTCTTTTAAACATCGTAATTGTACCAACATCTACTGCTTCCTCAGGAAGTTCATTTCACACGCGAACCATCCTCTGTGTAAAAAAAAACTGCTCCTCATGTCTTTATAAAATCTTTCTCCTCTCACCTTAAAAATGTGCCTAGTCGTGAACTCTTCCTTCCTAGGGAAAATACAACTACCATTAACTTTATCTATACCCCTCATTATTCAGACTTACACTTGTTTCTGGTGAGTTCCTCTCCAGGGGTTTTCTGTTCAGCACTTATTTTTTCTTCTCTGCAGCAGTTTTTCAGCTTTTTGGCTCTTCTGGTTGCTAGCTTGTTTTAAAAGCTGGATCGATAATATTTTGAAAAACAAAATGACATCTTGAGTTGTTACAGAGATAGTAGGAACTGCCGATGCTGGAGAATCTGAGATAACAAGGTGTAGAGCTGAATGAACACAGCAGGCCAAGCAGCATCAGAGGAGCAGGAAAGCTGACATTTCGGGTCTAGACCCTTCTTCAGAAAAATATCTCTTGAGTTCTTTTTTGCAAAGGACTCCAAGTCTATTTCTTGATTTTAATGCAGCCATGATTTTCTCAGCAGTAAATCCCACTACTACTGCCACCATCTTTTGTTACATGATTTTATGCCAACATTATTGAGTTTGGATTCAGGACAGGCAGTTTGAGAAGGCAAGGTCAAGAACTGTCTTCCAGATTGGCCTTCTTCATAAAACTGTTTATTACATATTTATTTTAAATACTACAATACATGGTCATCAGAAATAAACTAGACTCTAATCTTACTGTTGAATTATTGAAAGACTATCCCATACACTCTACTGCCTAATGTTAGCCAGTCCATTTGAAATATTTCACTGCATGTATTCTCTCTCTTCTTTCTCCCCTACCTCCATATATGTATGCCATGTGCTATGTATGGCCAGTGAAGAGCAGCTCCTTGATAACATTGCAAAGGTTGCTCCAGGGTTTTGAAGCCCTTGAGCAATAGGTGGCTTGGACAGTTGAGGGGTGGGGGAAGAGTTCTGCAGTAGCCATATCTGCCTTGGAGCTCGCAGCCTGCAAAACTTCAGCCCACAACTCTACTAGGGATCCCTGGCACCCACTTTGAGAAAGCTTGTTCTCACCCTCCCCTCCACACACCCACCCCCACCTTTTAATCTGCGGGTTGCACATAGCTTGAGGCTTTAATACAGTCTGGGGCTCAACAGGAAAAGGTTTGGGAAGAACACTAAGACCTTGATGTTGGAAATTCAAAATGGAAATGTTGATTCATCCTCTATCAATGGCAAAACCAACTTTAATAAACACAGGTAGGAAGAAAATATGAGGATGAGCGCACTAAAACTTTAAAACTCCTGCAACTTTTGTGAGGTCTCACGTGGAATACCTAAACAGGAGGTGGTAAAGATGTCTGTGGAACTTAAAACTGTGAATTTTTTTACCTAACAATTGGCTGAAAACATTTTGACTTCCCTGAGAGATTTTCCTGCAGTGTTTACCAAACCAAGAAAGAAGCATAGAAACAAAAACAGAAGTTGCTGGAAAAGCTCAGCAGCTCTGGCAGCATCTGTGAAGAAAAAAAATCAGAGTTAACGTTTCGGGTCCGGTGACCGTTCCTTAGAACTGAAACATATCCAGGTGATTCGATTTCTGCGTCATTGTTTCTTAGGCAAATGTTTTTGACACTGTCAAAATTCTCAGGTACTCCAGAGTTTCTGGACAAGGTAAGGACTTAATGACTGGCAGGACCAAGAGTATATTTCCGCAACCAACGAATGGTAAGGACTGGGAAAGAAATGAGAGAGAGGGAGGGAGGGAGGGAGTGAATTGGAGTGAAATTAAATCTCTGAAAAGCAGAGGACTAAAACTTCAGGTGATTTGCAACAGAACCAAATGTAACACAAGGAAATACAACTAATTTGAATAGTAGATAACAAGGTGTAGAGCTGGGATGAACACAGCAGGCCAAACAGCATCAGAGGAGCAGGAAGGTTGACGTTTCGGGCCTAGACCCTTCTTCAGAATCATTGAGTGGGAATCTGCTTTTAGTCTAACAGTGAGTGTAGGGAATAGGAAGTCCTGCCTTCTTCCATAGCATTGGTTTAAAGAGAAGAGACCCAATGATTGGCTCAGCAATCCGTCAGTAATTCTGACCTTGTTGGGGAAACAAATGCAAAAAAATTCTACGGGGAGTCGGGGGCAATTTAAGCTGCAGAGGGGATTCAGTTCGGAGCTTTCTGGTGGTGTCATAGTGCCTTATCACAGGAGTTGTTTTCCCCTCGCCACTGAAATGCAGCATAGTCTTTGATGATTTCAGCTGTTCCTTTAAATAACCAGCAGCCACATCCGACAATGATGATAATGATGAGCAGATGGAAGGCTGGTTTGCAGAGAGAAGCCACGGTCTGATCCCACGGTAGGACATTGGTAAACGGCAGCTCCAGCTGGACGGGAGTGCAGCAAAAAGGCTGAATGATCCCAGCAGTGGGAAACACACTGAGCTCCATGCTAGTCTCGGGGAATCACGTTCTAACTTCCTCTGTGAACCACTGACCTGCCTTTTCGCAAGAAATCTGGAAACCGACACACACAAATATCCTGTATGGTCATCCAAAACAAGAATTCCCAATTTGCCTGCTGCATTCGAACAATCTTTCTAATCGATATGTTCCGCTTTGCTTTGAGGATAACGTGCATCTGTGTGCTCTGCCTTCTCCTGTATGGAATACTTGTGAATTTCATACAGCTGTTCGATTACGGGTAGGTCATTTTATTTTTTAAAAACTCTTCACTTGTTTCTGGGCTAGTTCACAATTAACCTTCTTGTTGCAGGACGAATCGACATACTGCAGGTAAGCTGCTCATCTCGAGGCTGAGAATATCTCCCACAGTCAGTGATGGTTTTTCGCTTGTGTTTTTGTGACTCTGGGACCAAAGGAGTCTCCCCCGCGGATCCTTTACCCCACCGCCCCCCCTCCCGGGTCCTGTTGCTGGAGGTGATTAGAACATTTGTTGTTTGGGCAAGTTTACTTTGAGTACCTTTTAACTTGTGCGCTGTTCTCTCCTGGTCCTTTATAAAACGCAACAGCGGAATATAAAGACCCAGTTTCTTTTTCCCCCTCACGTTAAGGCTTTATATCAAGATTTCTATTAAAAGCTTTTCTTGGGGGCTAGCGGAGCTTGTGTGAATTTTATTTCCTCTTTGGAGAGTACAGAAGGAAAATGATAGATAATAGTGCGCCATACTGTTAGTTTCTGATGCGCCATCAGGGCACCCAAAAAGCCCAAGGGAAGCCAATTCGCCAGTGGTCAGACACACATTTAGGTGGACTGCTTTCACAGGAACCTTGTGTGTAACCGAGTAAGTAGGTGACTGAGTAACATCGAGAATGATCTGGGAGCAGGTTAGCTGCTTGATATCTCAAGCAGGCCGTGGCATTTGAGTTCGAGGTTTAAATACAAGAAGAAAATTAATATATCTTTTTATTTCTAAAAGGCATTTTTTTTTAAGTTGCAAAAATATACTTTATTCATAAAAGAAATCTTTGTCTCCGTACATAGTTACCAGAGCAGTTCGGTTCTGCTCAGTTTATGCAAATTGGAGAACAAACAAACATTTCGGGGTTGGACTTTCCCTACAGTTGCAACAAAAACCAAAACCAATTATACAAGATACTATTTACTTGTATTTGAGGCACCAGGAGGGTCCAATACCTGAATGGACCCCTACTGTACTTTGGTAGAACGACCATAGATCAGTTACACAAACTGAGCAAGAATACTAACGGGAAGGGAGTCTGACCCCCATATTAGCAACTAAACACAGAATGTGTGTGTCTCTGTCTGTCTGTTCACGACAGTTTTTAGATACAGATCCATTCATGCATTGCAATTTTTGAAAATAAAGTGGACGTTCCTGTAATGTCTCATTATCTGTGCATTGCACAAGCAGTACTTTGTGCATTTCTGCTAGTTAATCCTTCATCTGCACATCATCATTGAACAGTCACTGATACAATTCAAGCCACCTGATCTATCATGTTTGTGCTAGTCATTTATTCACCTAACCTCACTTCCATTCACTTTCTCCATTATCCTACTTTGCCTGCAAAATTTATTCCATTGATCTTCTCGCGTGCCATTTTTTAATGGCTACTTTACAGCTTGTGTGGTGGCTATGACTGCTTCTTTCTTTCATAAGATGATGATGTTTGCTGGAAATGTCAGCACTCGGTTACTGTCACTAATTGCTCTTGACTGTAATGACTTGCTAGTTAAGGGGAAACTGCATTGCTGTGGATCTGGAGTCATAGATCGATCAGACCAAATAGAGTCATAGAGATACACAGCATGGAAACAGACCCTTCGGTCCAACTTGCCCATGCCAACCATGTAGCCTAGATAAACGTAGCCCCATTTTCCAGCATTTGGCCCATGCCCTCTAAACCCTTCTTATTCATGTACCCATCCACATGCCTTTTAAATGTTCTAATTGTTCCAGCCTCTACCACTTCCTCTGGCAGCTCATTCCATACATGCACCACCCTCTGCGTGAAAATTTTGCCCCCTAGGTCCCTTTTAAATCTTTCCCCTCTCACCTTAAACCTAGGCCTCTAGTTTTTGACTCCCCACTCTGGGGAAAAAGACCTTGTCTATTTAACCTATCCATGCCCCTCATGATTTTATAAACCTAACCAGCTGGTGGTTTGCATCAGTTGCTGATAGTCTCATACTCTGTTCAATTCCATACTTTCATAAGGGGATTTAAATTTGTTTAGTCATTATCACCAAAGTATTTGGCTGGATAATTGATTTACTTCACAAATAAAATGCCACAACATCCCCTTTCATCCCTTATTTGTTACTTACATGCCTCAACATTTTCATATATCTGTATTAGCATTATCTGTAGCCATACATTAGTGCATTGATGTGTCAGTATTAGCACCTAGCTAGGATATATATTGTAGAAAAATGTAGGCATAAGTTATGAAACTGTAAACAGCTATATAGATAAGGTGATATGTAAATACAGATCAATAAAATGTAAAAGACAGAGCAACCAGGTCTATTATAACAAGATGTGGAGCTGGATGAACACAGCAGGCCAGGCAGCATCAGAGGAGCAGGAAAGCTGACGTTTCGGGTCTGGACCCTTCTTCAGAAGAAAATGTTGCCCCAGCTGGTTAGGTTTATAAAATCATGAGGGGCATGGATAGGTTAAATAGACAAGGTTGCCATTCTTATTCTTTCTATTACCCCCCCACTTTATTCACTAACGAGATGAGGGTGTCACTGGCTAGGCAGCATTTAATGCCCACACCTAATTGCCCAGAGGGCAGTTCAGAGTCAACTGCATTGCTACAGTCCACACCAAGTAAGGATGGCAGTTTCCTTCTCTAAAGAGCATTAGTGAACCAGATGGGTGTTTCCCCCTGACAATGGATTCATAGTCATCATTAGATTCTTAATTCCAGATGTTTTATTGAAATCAAATTCCACCATCTGCCACAGCAGGATTCGAACCCGGTCCCAAGAATGTTATTTGGGTCTCAGGATTAACAGTTCAGCGATAATACCACTAGGCCATCACTTCCCTGATGCTAACTCATGTATCCCTTTTCAAGGTTGCAGGTCAGCGACACTGCAGAAAGGCGAATAAATGACAGTGAAAAAAATGTTGGTGACACAGGTTGTGACAAGTGTTCTTACAGGTAAGAAGCAATGGGGGGTAAATCTTAAAGTTTCTATTGATTACTGGCCTCCATTTGATAGAAGGCCCCTCAGTGACAATTCAATCCCAGTGGGATGGTTTGGGAGCAATAACCATAGTGTTAATAATTGGAGAGGGAGACAAGGAAATGGGAAGAACATTTACTGATGTAAAATAAGTCAGTTCAGAGACATAGCCATGGAACTGAAAATGTGGAAGGAACAATGCCCAGTCAACTCCTTCCACTGCTTCAATCCTGTTTGAAAGTGTGACATGACAATCATTTGCCTTCTCTTTCCTACTCTCGCACATATTTCCCTTTGCTCCAACAAAAGAATGCTGAGTTCAATTGTTACTCCAAGTCAGATGCAAATAAAAGCAGGAGAATTTCCTAAACAAGAAAGCTTTAATTGATTGATTGAGGTGGTGTTATCTTCTAGGTGTTCATGAGATGTCTGTGTCACTGGCAAGGCCAGATAGTTGATGCATTGGGTTTACATTTCCAAAACTGCCCTGATTTGTGGAAGATCCCATTAGATTTCAAAGTAGAAAGTATAGCTCCTTTATCCAAAAAGGCAGGGAGTCAAAGCAGGAAATTACAGACCAGGTGGATTTCATATGTTATGGGGAAAATGATGGAACCTATTATTAAGAGATTCTAGCAAGGCTCTTGGATAAGTTCAGGATGGTCAGGCAGAGCCAACATGATTTTGTGAAAGAGAAACCATGTTTGACCAAATTATTAAGATGGCACTGTGGCTCAGTGATTAGCACTGCTGCCTCGTAGCGCCAGAGACCCAGATTCGATTCCACCCTCGGGCGACTGCCTGTATGGAGTTTGCACATTCTCGCTGTGACTGTGTGGGTTCCCTCTAGGTGCTCCAGTGTCTTCCCACAGTCCAAAGGTGTGGAGGCTAGGTGGACTGGCCATGCTAAATTGACCTATAGTGTCCAGGGAGGTGCAGGCTGGGTGGATCAGCCATGGGAAATGCCAGGATATAACGGGTGGACTGCTCCTTGGAGAGTTAGTGTGGACTCAATGGACTGAATGGCCTGCTTCCACACTAATGATTGTATGGTATTGGGAACTCTTTGAGGAAATAACATGTGCTGTGGATAAAGCAGAACCAGTGGATGTATGGTCTTTAGATTTCCAGAAGACATTTAATAAAGTTTGACGTTGAAGGTTATTGAAAATAAATGGGTCTTTTTCACATTGGCAAGATGTGACACAGGGATTGTGCTGGAACCTCAACTGAATAAATTATTTAGGTGAAAAGATGGAAGCTATTGTTGCCAAATCTACTGATTAATGTAAAGATAAGTAGTAAAATAAATTGTAAAGAGGACATAAGGAGGATACAAAAAGATATAGATAAAGTAACCAGGCAAATATGTGGCAAATGGAGTATAAGATGGGAAAATATAAAATTGTCCATTTTTGACAAGAAGAATTTAAAAAGACATATTATCTAAATGGTGAGCAATTGCAGAGCTTTGAGATGCAAAGAGGTTTGGGTGTCCTTGTGCATTTACATCCTTTCTTTAAATACGGTAATGAATACTGTGTCTAGCACTCCAGATGTAGACTCCCCAGGGCTCTGTATAAGTGAAGCATAATCTTTGAGAGGAAAAGTGAGCACAATCAATTAAAAGAGATAACAAGGTGTAGAGCTGGATGAACACAGCAGGCCAAGCAGCATCAGAGGAGCAGGAAGGCTGACGTTTCGGGTCTAGGCCCGAAACGTCAGCCTACCCGAAACGTCAGCCTTCCTGCTCCTATGATGCTGCTTGGCCTGCTGTGTTCATCCAGCTTTACACCTTGTTATCTCAGATTTTCCAGCATCTGCAGTTCCTACTATCTCTGATACAATTTTTTAATTGATTGTATTAACTTTCCTAATTACTTGATGAACCTGCTTTGCAGAATACCTACGCTCAGTTCGCACTAAACAACCGCACCTCCCCAGTCGCGAACCATTTCAACTCCTCCTCCCATTCCTCAGACAACATGTCTATCCTGGGCCTCCTGCAGTGTCACAACAATGCCACCCAAAGGTTGCAGGAACAGCACCTCATATTCCGCTTGGGAACCCTGCAGCCCAATGGTATCAATGTGGACTTCACAAGCTTCAAAATCTCCCCTCCCTCTACCGCATCCCAAAACCAGCCCAGCTTGTCCCCGCCTCCCTAACCTGTCCTTCCTCCCACCTATTCCCTCCTCCCACCTCAAGCCCTACCCCCATCTCCTACCTACTAACCTCATCCCGCCCCCTTGACCTGTCCGTCCTCCCTGGACTGATCTATCTCCTCCCTAACTCCCCATCTACACTCACCTTTACTGGCTCCATCCCCGCCTCTTTGACCTGTATCTCCTCTCCACCTATCTTCTTCTCTATCCATCTTCTATCCACCTCCCCCTCTCTCCCTATTTATTTCAGAATCCCCTTCCCCTCCCCCATTTCTGAAGAAGGGTCTAGGCCCGAAATGTCAGCCTTCCTGCTCCTCTGATGCTGCTTGGCCTGCTGTGTTCATCCAGCTCTATACCTTGTTATCTCTACTAACCTCTGTGTACTAGGATAACCAAATTTGTTTACACCTTCCGTTATGCTTGGTATAACTCAATCCAATAGAGAAATTTTGCCCTGATTCCTGTTATGTTATGGATGAGACCAGACCAATCCCCCCCAAAAAAATAGTGAGGAGATAGCCTAGACCCTAACTTTCATATTTATTTAAAGGCAAGTGTAAGGCAGTACGTTCCAGATGTGATTTGATTGGTCCATCACTAGGCTTTAATCAAAACACACTATTCTTACAACAAAGTTGAAATATTAAAAAAAGGCATAATCTTAATACTATTGAAATACTTAACAAGATAATATATGACATAACTGTTACAATAAAGGCAGCATCCCATAAACACACCCTTTGGCAAAATGCAATTCAGCAAAACGCTCTCTCGCTCTCGCTGTCTCTCCAGTCCAGAAGAAAGAAACAATCTGCCCCTTTTGATTTTTAAGAGGTGGCCTGGCTATCTAACACTTTAGTCCAGCAGAGAACTCAAGTAATTAGCTCAGCAGCCAGCAGAAACCTCCTCACTCACTGAAAGCCTTTCTGGGTCTGTGTAAGCCCTGACCCTACCTACTCATGATTCTTCTGTCTCATTAGAAACAAAAAACATCCAGCAAGAATTCAAAAGCAGTTTACCAGCTGCCTGTCTGAAGGAGATATTCTGGTATGGTTATGACAACACCCCTCTGCCAGAGAAACAGCGCAGAACACGTCTTTCTTAACGGCACAGTCCTGTCACAATTGACCCTAGTTTTAATAGGGCACCTTGATATCAAACTTGGTCAAACGCAGCCTTAATGTCAAGGGCAGTCACTCTCACTTACCCTCTTGAGCTCTGTTGTTCATCCTGGGAGCCAAGATTACAATGAAATCAGGAGCTGAGTGGGTCTGCCAGAATGCAACTGAGTGTTAGTGAGCGGGATGTTGTTGAGTAAGTGCCACTTGATAGCACTGTTGACAATCCTATCTATCATTTTGATGATAGAGTATACTGGGACTGTATTTCCCTGGGTTGCATCCGTCCTTTTTAGTGAACAGAACGTACCTGGATAATCGTTTAAACTTCTGGTTAGGTGCCAGCGTTGAAGCTCTCGTGGAACAATATGGCTAAGGGTCTGGGTAGCTCTGGAGCACATGTTTTCCGTACTATGATCAGAATTTTGTTAGAGCCTGTAGCTTTTACAGTATCCAACACCTTCAGCCTCTTCTAGATATTAAATAGAATGAATTGAATTTGCTGAAGGCTGGCATCTGGATGCTGGACACCTCTGGACATCATTGATTGCCCACTCAGCACCTGTGGCTCAACATTGCTGTGAATACTTCAGCCTTATCTTTTGCAGTGATGTGTCAGGCTACCCCACCATTGAGAATAGGGATATTTATGCAGCCTCTTCCTCCAGTGAATTGTGTAGTTCTCTGCCACCATTCACAACTGGATGTAACAAGTAAACCAGGTTGATTTTTATGACTATTTAAAAATAGTTTCATGGGCACTATTAGACTAGCTTTTAATTCCAGATTTGTTAATTAAATTCAAATTTGACCTAAACCCGTGTCCCAATCCCGGCAACATTCTGGTAAATCTTTACTGAATCCTCTCCAGTTTAATAATATCCTTCCTACTCAACACAGTTCTTCAATGATAAATAGATAGCACAGTGTGGAGCTGGAGGAACACAGCAGGCCAGGCAGCGTCAGAGGAGCAGGAAAGCTGACCAAGGGTCCCAACCTGAGATGGCAGCTTTCCTGCTCCTCTGATGCTACCTGGCCTGCTGTGTTCATCCAGCTCCACACTGTGTTATCTCAGACTCCAGCATCGGCGGTTCTTACTATCTCTTCAATAATAAAACTTTCTTTTTGTTTAGTCAGGTGACAAATTTCTGGGATGAGAATGCAACAGACTGTGCAAGGATTTACAAGGAGATTGCCTCTTCTCCTTTTGAAAGGTGAGTTGACTTTTCATGGTTCCTTACTACAATCTTGAAAGATCTTTCGAACGATGTAGATGTTAATAAACTAACTAGCATGGTTATCTCTCTGAAGCATACCGTTTATTTCCATCATGTCCCACTGACTGTCTTTATGTGAGTCTTTGCAGAGCCTGGGAATTGAAAGAGTGGGTTAGTGTACAGGGTGCTGTTGGCTCAGTGGGCTCTGTTACATCATGTTTGCTCGGACTCCGACTTCCAGGCAGGAGCTCTCCATGTCTATATAACCAGGAGGCAGGACGTTTGGCCATTTGTCAAGCACATCTAAAGTTCTTCTGTATTTCCATTAGCTTCCCATCTTGGTCTCAGTTTATCAACTCGTATCATTGCAGTCATGATAATTAGGGGCTCTGTGATTCAAATATGGCTAACTGCAAAGAATGTAAAAGTTTCAGCTGTAAAAGCTGCAGTATTATAGTGAACAACATTCCTAGAGGACTTCACAGAGTAGATGTGGACAGGTCTCTCCTTGAGGGAGAGTCTAGGACTAGAGGGCATAATTTCAGAATAAGGTGTCACTCATTAAAGATTGAGATAGAGCTATAGAGATATACAGCACGGAAACAGACCCTTTGGTCCAACTCGTCCCTGCCGACCAGATATCCTAAATTAATCTAGTCCCATTTGGCCAATATCTCTATAAACCCTTCCTATGCATATCCCCGTCCAGATGCTTTTTAAATGTTCTAATTGTTCCAGCTTCCACCACTTCCTCTGGCAGCTCATTCCATACACGCAGTACCCTCTGTGTGAAAAAGTTGCCCTTTAGGCCCCTTTTAAATCTTTGCCCTCTCACCTTCAACTTATGCCCTCTAGTTTTGGACTCCCCCCACCCCAGGGAAAAGACCTCGTCTACTCTCCCTATCCATGCCCCTCATGATTTTATAAACCTCTATAAGGTCACCCCGCAGCCTCCAATGCTCCAGGGAAAATAGCCCCAGTCTATTCAACCTCTCCCTATAGCTCCAACTCTCCAACACTGGCAACATCTTTGTAAATCTTTTGAGGGAACTTTCTCTCCGAGGGCTGTGAATCTGTGGAATTCTTTATGACAGAGAACCTTGGAGCTGGACTTGTGAAGGCTGAGATGGACAGATATTTAATCACCAAGGGAATTGAGGCTTATGGGGAAAGGCAGGAAAGTGGAGTTGAGGATTATCAGATCAGCCGTAATCTCATTGAATAGTGGAGCAGACTCAGTGGGCTGAATGGCCTCAATGTTCCTGTGTCTTATGGCCTTACTTGAAACTGAGCCATGTGACCACGAGAAGCTCGGAACTCCAGGATGAAGCACTGATTTCCATCTTGCTTGTCTTTGACCACTCTGGTCAGTGCCTGGTGCAATGATAATTCACTCTCTAACAAATATTTGCTGTCGTCTAGCATACAAAGAGACCCCAAAAAAATGACATGGGAGAACTCCTGTTGGCAGTTCTTGACACCACTGGTTCAAAGTGACCTCTTCCCCACCCGTCCCCACACCAAGCCAGGTGCCCATGTGAGAAGGTTATTGAAATGTGCAGCAAGCTGTTTATAAGGATCATCTTACATTCAAGTAGTCAGAATGTGGATTCATGTTTTATTCCTGTATCATGTTAAAAAGACACTGTCTACAAAAAATCAGTGATAGCCAAACTGTGCTTGATCCAATACAAATGAGAACAGTGCTACGATGTCCAATGCAGGATCACCGAGGTGACATTTCTTAACATCACTCAGAGGTCAAAGTGTTTGGGAAAAACATGGTCTTATATGTTTACCTCAAGTTGCTGTGCGGTCTAGAGAATCCATTTAAAATAAAAAGGACTACCTGCGTAGAGAGTCTGTCATTACCTGAGAGCATCCCAAGAGCACTTTACATGGAATGAAACACATAAGCACACTGTTGCAAAGTTTGGAACATGACAGTTTATATACAGCAGGCTCCCGGTAACATCTATGATATTTAACCAGATAATTTATGTTAGTGATGTTGACTGAGGGATAAATATTGGCGATGGGTTAACCCTCCTGAACGTCTTTGAAATGGTGCTAGGGATTTTATTTTTCTTAACATCTACATCAGGTGAATGTCTAATCTGAAAGATAACGTCTCCAATTAATGCACTTGCTCAGTATTGTAATGTTTAATTAGACTAGATTTTTACATACGAATAGACAAATTAAGACCAGGCCATTTGGTTTTTTTCTATCCTGCTCAGTGCTGATCTTTTTATTTCAAATTCCGTAGTCCCAAAATAGAATCCCCACAGTACAGATAGAGGCCATTTGGCCCATTGAATCTGCACTGGCCCTCTGAAGAGCATCCCACCTAGAACCCACCCCATCCCCAAAAGGCAGAGAGTAGGGGTAAAAGGGGTAAAATCTTTCAGGATGGTAGCCAGTGACTAATGGAGTTTCGCAGTTGGGACTACAGCTATTCACATTATACATTAACATGCTGGATGAAAGAATTGACGGCATTGTTGCTAAGTTTGCAGATGATACAAAGGTAGGTTGAAGGAAAGGTAGTATTGAGGAAGTAGGAAGCTGCAGCAGGACTTGGACAGGCTAGGAGAGAGGGCAAAGCAGTGGCAAATGGAGTCCAATGGGGGAAAGTGTGAGGTTATGAACTTTGGTAGGAAGAATAGAGGCATGGACTATTTTCTAAACTGGGAAAGGCTCTGGAAACCTGAAGCTCAAGGGGACTTAGGATTCCTAGTTCAGGATTCCCTTACGGTTGATGTGCAGGTTCATTTGGCAGTTAGGAAGGCAAATGCAATGTTGCCATTCATTTCAAGCGGGTTAGAATACAAGAGCAGAGAGGTACTGCTGAGGCTGTATAAGACTTTGGTCAGACTGCATTGGGAATATTGTGAGCAGTTTTGGATCCTGCACGTAAGGACAAGTATACTGGCTTGGGACGGGCCCTAGAATGGTCCCAGCAATGAAGGGCTTGTCAGATGAGGAGGGGTTGAGGATTCTGGGTCTGTACTCGATGGAGTTTAGAAGGATGAGGGACGATCTCATTGAAACTTACAAAATACTGAGAGCCCTGGATATAGCAGATGTGGAGAAAATGTTTCCACTAGTAGGAGAGACTAGAACCAGAGAGCGCAACCTCAGAGTGAAGGGATGACCCTTTAAAACTGAGATGAGGAGGAATTTCTTCAGCCAGAGGGTGGTGAATCTATGGAACACATTGCCACAGAAGGCTGTGGAGGCCAAGTTATTGTACGTATTTAAGACTGAGATAAGTAGGTTCTTATAGAGTCATACAGCATGGAAACAGACCCTTCAGTCCAACCAGTTAAAGGCTTCCCAAACTAAACTAGTCCCACTTGCCTGCATTTTGCTTATGTCCCTCTAAACCTTTCCTACTAATGCACCTGTCCCAATGTCTTTTAAATGTACCACTTTCTCTGGCCTTCCATATACACAACAACCTCTGTGTAAACATCCTTGATTAGTAAGGGGATCAAAGGTTATGGGGAGAAGGCAAGAGATTAGGGTTAAGAAACAGATCAGCCATGATCGAATGGCAGAGCATACTTGATGGGCTGAATGGCCTAATTCTGCTCCTGTATCTTATGACAGGCCAAATGTTTATTTTAAGGGTTGAGCTGTTATGGCGCAATGATGGTGTCCCGGGTTCGAGTTCCACCCGTTCTGAGATATCATTACAATCCTTAGACCTGCTTAGAAATAACTCCAAATCTGAATGTAACTGATAGGAAAGTAATAACTAAAAATTCTCATTGGTGTAAGGCATTAGATAACATCTAGGGCCACACGGAAAGGTTTTCCTGGCCATTGTAAAGTAGTACAAGGTCCAAAGTGGGAAAAGTTTCCTTCCAAATAAAATAATTCTTAGCCAAATATTTTTCAATGAAGATAATACATGGTTTAAAGAGTTAACTTTTTAAAGAGATGAGTATTTGATGAAATTTTCTCGTCACTGTTAAATTGTATAAAGTGTACAGTCGGCACGTAGCAGAAGTACAGCAACGTAGTTTGAAGGGCCTGGACAATCTTTGAAAGAGCATAAATTTAAATTGCTACAAAGCAGTTAGAGAATGGGAGGTTAGTTTACAAAGTATGGAAATTAATCTGTAAAGGTGACTAGAATGCTGTCCAGTTCTTCTAGAAATGATCCATTAGTGTGTTTTAGAAAAGAGAATGTGCTGTCCTCAGTTGGGTTGGATTATGTATGAAAACAGTGTGAAATTAACTTTTAATTTCAAATGAAGACACAAATTAAGAACAACAATAGGCCATTTGACCCCTCAAGCCTGCTTTGCCATTCAATAAGATCACAGGTGATCTGTTTGTTGTCTCGATTCTATATTCCTTTCAACCCCCTTTGTCTCATTGCCTTGTTAGTCAGGAAACTATCTAACTCTAACTTAAAAATATTTGTTGATGCTGCCTCCACAATGCTTTTGCGAAAGCAGGCTCACAGACACTTAATCCTCTGTAAGAAAAGCTAAATCCTCATCTTCATCTTGTACAGCACACTCCCCCGCCCCTTTTTAAACTGTGCTCCTCTGCAGGGGAGAACATTCTTAAGAATAACATAATTTGATGATAACAGACCACTTGAAGGAGATAACAGTGTGGAGCTAGAGGAACACAGCCGGCCAGGCAGCATCAGAGGAGCAGGAAAGCTGACGTTTCGGGTCGGGACCCTTCTTCAGAAATGGGGGAGGGGGAAGGGAGATCTGAAATAAATAGAGAGGAGAGGTGGGGCTGGGGGAAATAGGTGGGATGGTGATAGGAAGGATTCTGGTTTTGTGGAGTACCTTTCGCTTCAGCTGATAGCCTTCAGAAGGAAAAGATGTGACTTTGAGTCATAAGCACGGTCTGGCATCTTGGGTAAAAGCCAAGAACAAGGATATACTGCATTATTCGGGAGACTGTGCTGTGAATGAGGGTTTCGCTTGACGATCCAAGAGGTTCAAGATCTGTTGAGGATAACCTTGACGATCAGCATATCAATTAGGAAAAGATTTGGAGGTGGGTGGCGCAAGTGATGAGGGGAAGCTGAGATCAGACATTTAAGGAGCCAGGAGCAGTTAATATAAGGAAATGAAAATGAATTGGCACTTTTTGAAAAATGTCTGGAAGGGTGTGTTCTCTGTGCTTTGGCTAACAATTCGTCTGCATTGAAACCATACAGAATTGAAAATGGCTGTCCATTTCCTGGCCACTCCGGGGTAGATGTTAGTGAACGCACCTCACAACATTTCATTTGGTGCTCGTGAAACACTCAGGCATTTTACAATGATAAAGAACCTCCTTACAGGAGGACTTGCATCTCAACTATTCACTCAGGCCTGCTGTATATTGAAAAACAACTCCCCAACCTGCTGAACATAAATAAATAAAATCTTTCTGCCGCTCAGCCTGTTGTACCTGTGTTGGCTCTATGGAGAAGCCATCCCAATTAATCCTAACCCCATTATTCTTTCCCCTTGGTCCTGTAGCTCTTCCCTCTTCAAATATTTATCCAATTTCCTTTAGCAAGTTACTAGCTAATCAAATTCCACCGCTGTTTCACATTCCAGATCATAATTTGCTGTGTTTATAACATGTCGTTTCATCATTTCTTTTGATAAAGACAAGTGATCTGAAATCTAAGGTCTCTGGTTTCAGGCCACCCTGACTTGTGATACTTGAACTTCTAGCCCCTTATCTTTTCCTTAAAGCTGCAGATCATGTTCCCAACTAGCTAGTTATGTAAAAACAACCCTTTTGTTATAAGCAACCTTTGTTCACCCACTTTGAGTGAGAGACTATTTGGCGTCTGCAGGAGAATCGCTTAGAGCAATTACAGATGGATGCCGATTTTGTTATGATCAAGCAGTGGAAAAGTGCCCATTTGAAATCTGTCTCTTTTCTTTTTTTTGTTGCTGACTTCCTAAATCAAATGAATTGCTTACTGCATTGATTTCTCCAAAATGCAGAGGTGCACAATGTTTTTTTTTGTCTTCAAGCCCCTTATCTTTTCCTTTTGACATTGAATTGCAGGCAGACTGAAGAGGATGTTATTAATAATATCACCAAGCTTCGCCATTGCCAATGGCACAAGCAGGAGCTAGCAGCTGAAGAATTCAGGTACTTTCAGACCTGGAGTGGTACACCTCAATCTTTTAAGACGTTTTTCAAAAATATTTATGGTACAGAGCAAGCAATATGGTTCAATGAGTCTATGCCAGCATTTTTATGCTGTATACATATTTTTCTGTCTCTTTCCTCATTGTTATATTCTTGTATTGCTTTCTACCATGTCCTTATTTTGGAATCATTTGATGTAGGTGAATCATTGAATTCATTCAACCCCTCAACCCTTCCTGATATCTACAATTCTCTAATTCTGACCTTGTGCATTTCCAATTTGAGTTGTCTCACCCTTAATGCACCTCTCAGGCTCTCTAGTCTGCTTTCTTTAAGGTGCTTCTTAAAATGTATCTCTTTGACCACGCTTTTGGTCATCTCACTGCATGGCTCCTTGATGTTTTGTGTTATAAAATAATGCTCCTGTGAAACACTTTGGAATGTTCCATTACATTGCCATTTGCCTCAAATAATCCTTGTGGTAATGAGTTCCAGTTTTCACTACACACTCTGGTTAAAGAGGTTTCTCCTCTGATAAATTTGTTTAATTAGAGATTTTATATTTATGGTCCTTGGTACTGGTCTTGCCTGCAAATAAACATGATTGCTAAGCATAAACCCAAGCAATACTTCCATAATTTGAAGGATAGTCATCAGGCCAATGTTCAGCTGTCTCCTGTCCACAGAAAGGATTGCCATTCTATTCAACCTTCAGATGAGATTTGCAAACCCATTGTCGATCTTGTGGTTACCTACAGAGCACTGCCACATCTCCCAAGATGTTGGGGACAGTGAACAGTAACTATATTTGGGGTGGCACAGTGGCTCAGTGTTTAGCACTGCTGCCTCACAGTGCCAGGGTCCTGGGTTTGATTCCACCCTCAGGTAACTGTCTGTGTGGAATTTGCACATTCTCCCTGTGTCTGCCTGGGTTTGCTCCAGTTTCCTCCCACTGTCCAAAGATGTGCAGGCTAGGTGGATTGGCCATGCCAAATTACCCATAGTGTTCAGGGATGTGTAGATTAGGTGGGTTGGAATGCTCTGAGGGTCACTGTGGACTTGTTGGGCCAAAGGGCATGTTTCCACACCGTAGGGATTCTATGATATATATTCATTTAAGCAAAAATTAATGGAACAGGAGGAAACCCCCCATTCAGTCCATTGATAGTGCTCCACCATTCAGTTAGATCATGGCTAATCATCGACATTAATGTTACTTTCCTGCACTATCTCCAGTTCTCTTGATACATTAGTCTCCAGAAATCTATCAATTTTTGTCTTGAAATTCTTTAATGATTGAGCTTCAACTCTAGCCATATGAGGTAGAGAGTTCCAAAGATTCACCACCCTCTTTATGAAGAAATCCCTCCTTCTCTCAGTCTTAAGTGGCTTGCCTCTTATCCTGAGATTATAACCCTGGCTCCAAGGTCAGCAGCCCCGGTAAATGAAATACCCGCATCCAACCTGTCATGCCCTGTAGGAATTTGGCAAACCTCAATAAAACCCCCACTTATTCTTGGAAAATCCAGGGAATGCCAGCCCAGTCACCTCGAACTGTCCTCATGAGACAGTCCCATGGTTCCAGGGATTTATTTGATCAGCCTTTAGCAAGTAAATCCCGCTGCAGGTTAGAGAATCGAACAGGTATAAAATGTGAGGTCTCATCAAAGCTCTGTGCAACTACAGCAAGTTGTCTTTACTCCTGTACTCCAGCCCCTTGCAATGAGGGCCAAGATACCATTTGCTTTTCTAACTGCTTGCTGCAGCTTTGTCCTATTTTTAATGACTTGTAGGGAGTACATGTCTATATTTGTGGACAATGTACAAACTTGGAAGATTTGACAGTTTCCAGACCCAAAAACGAGTTTTCTTTTTAAATCAAGGTGGTGAAGGGAATCCATGTTGTTTGTTGGAAATCAAGACAGCAATTTAATATGGGCAATGATCAGCCTGCTGTTTATGGAAAGTCAAGTGGCCCATATCACATACAGGAATTTATCCTCTGTAGCTTTGGTGCTAATTTGATTCACCCAGTCTTTATGTAAATTGAAGTAGCCCTTTATTACTGTATTACTAACATTTACTAACATTACATGCATCTCTACTTTTATAATTTAAACCCATTTCCCATCTTATCTTTACTATTTGGACTGTAAGCAACTCCCACCAACTTTTGCTGCCTTGCTGTTTCTTGGCTGCAACCAAACTGATTCTACAGCCTGATCCTCCAACCCAAGATCCTGTATTAATAATGTGCTATCTTTATCCCTTTATCAAAGAGTGCAGTCCCCGCGCCATCTCATAAGTAAATTTCACCATTCGGGGAAGATTTGATATTTTTATGTTCATATTTCAATTATGATATTGTTCATGTCTTCAAACCCTGGATTTTATTTACAAGGCTGGTTCTGTTTTATTGGAGATAAATGCTTTCTGTTGATTTAGAGAGACAGACTGTGAATCCCTGGCAACAACATATTGCTCATTTGTCAGAAGTTCATTTGTGCAGGTGTGTACAGACGGTGCTGAAGACTGCTATCTATATTCAAGCATGTGCAGGCTATGGTATTGGGAACACTGCTCTAGTTGATCACTGTCCGCCTTTCAGATCAGAATTGAAGCAATGCTGTAACTCTGCTGACAACTTCGTCGTCACTCAAAAGAACACCCCTGTGGGGACTGAACTAACTTATGAGGGAGAACCAAAAAGGAAGATAAAAATTACTGAACAGATTTTCAGGTTGTTTCCCAAGGTAAGGGCTGCACTTTAAACTGGATACCACTATTTTGCAACTGGCCTGTGTTGCAATGTTGGAAACCTCTCCAATGCAACTGTCAGCTAAGGTCCTTGTTTTGCAGTGAGAATCAAACATTGTGTTTCTTTCTGTGCCCAGTTGTGTCAGTTTGGTGGTCACTGACACCTCCTCATTGAGCAATGTGTTGTTTCAGCACATTGGTTGTACAGCCTACATCTGGGGGCTTGTCCATCACGAGGGCTTGGTGGCGGGGGGGCGGGCTAGAATCTGGCCTGCTGTACAACTGTAACAGTGTAAATGGAAGGATTGATAGGGAAGGTTCTGACTGTGAGGACAGCATGTCAATTAGGAAAAAAGGAGAGAGTCAGAGTACGTAGTAACTCTGAAGAACTAAATTGCATTTATTTCAATGCAAGGGGTCTTACAGGTAAGGCTGATGAACTCGGCATATTTAAGAACATTGGGACTTCATAGCAATTACAGAAACTTGGCTGAGAGATGGACTAGACTGGCAGCTCAATGTTCCCAGTTTTAGATGCTATAGGAAGGATAGGAAAGGAGGGGGAGGCATTTTTCATTAAGAAATACATTGCTGTTGTTACTAGATTTCTGAAAAATCGTCCAGTGAAAATATATGGGTAAAAATTACAAATAAGAAAGGACGGATCACTTTGAGTTTGTATGAAAGGCCCCCCCAATAGTAAGAGAGAAATTGAGAAACCAATATGTAGGGAGACCTCAGATATGTCAGCATAAGGCTGTGATTATAGGGGATTTTCATTTTCCAAACATTCACTGGGACTACCAGAGTGTTAAAGGTTTGGATGGTGAAAATGTGTTAAAGAAAATTTTCTTTATCAATATATATCCCTGCTAGAGAAGGAGTAAAACTAGACCCTTTTTGGGGGCAATAAGGCAGGGCAGATGTCTCAAGTAAAAGTAGGGGAACACTTTGGGTCTAGTGATCATAATTCTATTAGTTTCAGAATGGTTATGGAAAAGGATAAGCCTCCCCTAAAAGTTGATGTTTTTAATTGGAGTAAGGCAAATTTTAATGGTATGAGACAAGAACTTTCAAAAGTTGATTGACAAGAGTTTAGAGGCATTTTGTTTCTCTTAGAATGAAGGATAAGGCTGGTAAGGTTAAGGAACAATGGATGAAAGAAGATATTGAGGTTCTAGTCAAGAATAAAAGAGAATTTTATTTTAGATATAGACAACTTGGTTCAGTTGAATCTCTTAATCAATATAAAGAGAGAAATCAGGTAGGCAAAGAGGAGTTATGAGATAGCATTAGCAGATAATGTTAAAGATAATCCAAAGAGATTCTGCAAATACATTAAGAGCAAAAGTAACTAAGGAGAGGGTTGGGTCTCTTAAAGTTCAAGGACGTTGTTTTTGTGTTGAACCCCAGGAAATGGGAAAGATACTAAATGATTATTTCACGTCAGTTTTTACCGTGGACAAAGAAATGGAGTCTAGAGAATGCAGAGAAATAAATGTTGATGTTTTAAAAACAGTTTACATTATAGAAGACGAAGTTCAGGAGGTCTTAGAGAATATGAAGGTGCATAAATTTCTGGGAGCTGATCTAATGTATCCCAGAATGTTGTGGGAAGTAAGAGAGGAAATTACGAGATCCCTTGCAGAAATAATTACATCATCTATAACTATGGGTGAGATGCCTGATGACTGGAGGGTGGCTGATGTTGTAAGAAGAAACCATAGACCTATAGAACTATAGACCTGTGAGTCTAACTTCGGTTGTGGGTAAATTCTTGGAGGTGATTATAAAAGATAGGATTTATGGACATGTAGAGAGGCAGAAATTGATTAGGGATAGTCAGCATGGTTTTGTGTGAGGGAAAATAGTGTCCCATAAACTTGATTGAGCTTTGAGAAAGTTGCCAGAAAGATTGATGGCAGAGCAGTAGACGTTGTTTATTTGGATTTTAGTAAAGCCATTGACAAGGTTCCACATGGTAGACTAATTAGCAAAGTTAGGTCACATGGGATTCAGGGTGAGCTTGCCAATTGGATACATAATTGGCTTAACAGCAGGAGAGCGAGTAATGGAGGATGGTTACTTTTCAGACTGGAGCCCTGTGACCAGCAGTGTTCTGCAGGGATTGATTCTGTGTCCTCTTTTGTTTGTCATTTTATATCAATGATTTGGATGAAAATATAGCAGGCATGGTTAGTACATTTGTGGATGACACCAAAACTGGTGGCGTTGTAGACAGTGAAGAATGTTTTCTAAGATTACAAAAGGATCTTTGATCAAATGGGCTGAAAAATGGCAGATGGAGTTCAATCTGGATAAATGAGAGGTATTGCATTTTGGTACAACAAACAAGGGTAAGGCTTATACAATTAATGGTAGGGGCTTGGGTAGTGTTGTAGAACAGAGGGGCCTGGGGTGCAGGTGCATAATTCTTTGAAGTTTGCATCACATGTAGACAGGACGGTTAAAAAGGCACTTGGCACATTTGCGTTCATTGCTCAGTCCTTTGAGTATAGGAGTTAGGATGTCATATTGAGGTTGTACAGGACATTGGTGAGGCCTCTTCTGGAATACTGTGTCCAGCTCTGGTCGCCCAGTCATAATAAGGATATTATCAAGCTGGAGAAGGTTCAGAAGAGATTTACCAGGATATTGCTGGGTATGGAAGGTTTGAGTTAAGGAAATGCTGGATAGGGTGGGACTTTTAACACTGGAGCATAGGAGATTGAGAGGTGACTTGATAGAACTTTATAAAATAATGAGAGGTATAGATAGAGTTGATAGTTGTCGTCTTTTCCCTAAGATGAGTAATTTCAAGACTGGGAGCACATTAAGGTGAGATGAGAGAGAATTTAACAAAAAAAATGGGGTGGCAATTTTTTTACATGGAGGGTGGTTGGCATGTGGAATGAACTTCCTGATGAAGTGGTGGATGTGGGTACAATTACAACATTTAAAAGATATTTGGACGGATATAAGAATAGGAAAGATTCAGAGGGGATATGGGCCAGGAGCAGGCAGGTGGGCCTAGTTTAGTTTAGGATTATGTTCAGCATGGACTGGTTGGACCGAAGGGTCTGTTTCCGTGCTGTATGACTCTATATTACAGTTTACAGGCCCAAAAACGAGTCTTTTTTTAAAAAAATCAGCTTTCTCAGGTAAGAGTTTCACATTTGCACAACAGAAATAAAAAAATCCTCACCGCTGTCCTTAAGGTTGATCCCCCTAATTCTGGACTCCCCCACAAGAGGAAATATTTTTTCCCTATTCATGTTGTGAAGACCATTCAGGATCTTGTACACTTCAATCAAGTCACCCCTTCACTCTTATAAACTCCAATGAGAACAGTCCAAGTCTGTTCTTCATAATACAATCCATTCATTCTAGGTGTTGATCTAGTAAACCTCTGAACTGCCTCCAAAGCATTTACATCCTCAATAAAGGAGGCTGAAACTGCACATAGTATTCCAGCTGTGGTCTCACAATGCCCTGTGTAACTGAAGGATAACATCCTTACTTTTATGTTTGATTTGTCTTGTCCTAAAAAACTTACTTAATGAAGTGCTGTTCTTTAATTACTTGTTGCACCTGCATACCAATATACTGTGACTCATGTTAGAAAGCATCTCTTTCTCAGTCATTCTGTAGTCAATCTCTGATTCAGTAATGTTTTATTCTTCCTGCCAAAGTGAACTACTTCACATTTTCCCATATTATGGTCCATCAGCCAGCTTTTCCTCCCCACTCACTTAACCTTACATTTATCTTTGTGCATCCTCCATAAGTCCACTTCACAGCACTCTCCTGCTACATTTATTTAGCAAATTTAGCTACCAAGTCTTCAATCCTTTCATTTAGGTCATTGATATAAATTGTAAAAAGCTGAGGCACAGACCGCTGCTGGACTCTGTCACATTTATGTATACTCTTTCTGCCAGCCACCCAATCTATCTGTGGAAGTACATTGCTCTCTACACCGAGCTGCTCCTTTGTACAATAACCTTTTCGATGCACCGTGTTAAATACTTCCTAGAATCCAAGTACTTCATCACTACAGGCTCCCCTTTATCCACAGCGCATGTTACTCTTTCAAAGAACTCCTAGAAGTTGGTTAAACATGATTTTTCTTTTATTACAAAACTATGCAGACTCTTTCTGACTACCTTTGTGTTTTTCAAAGTGCCCAGCTGTATTCTCTAATCAATTTGCACACTTTCCCCATGACGGACAACAAGCTAATTAGCCTAGTTTCTATTTTCTGCCTTTCTCTGTTCTTGAATTGAAGGATCATACTTGCTACTTTCCAATCTGATGGATATCTTCCAGAAGCTAGCAAATTTTCCCAAAGTTCAACACCAATGCTTCTGCTACCTTGTGAGCAGTCTGATTTAAGTCCCTAGGATGAAGTTCATGACCACCCTGGGCTTTGTCAGCCCGTAGCTCCATCCGTTTACTCAGTGACACTAACAGCCTGGGTCCAATTCTCGCACTGGCTGAAGTTACTGTAAGGACTCTCTGTCTCTCAACCTCCGCTGCGCCCCCCACCCCCAACTGAGAGATGGTGATCCTCAGGTTAATGAGAAAGTAGCCTGGACGGTCCTCTGGGATAATTGGTTGTCAGTCTGGGAATACCTTACTGTTTTTAAAAAAAAACTCTAGTCTTTTGCTTTCAGTTTCCTCCGTGCTGTTGCCCCTATTTAATTCTGTAACTATCTCTTGACCCCTGGAATCTATGCACTTCTCCAATCCTTCATCCATGCTTCACTTTGCTTCCCCAATGGCTGTGCCTTCAACTGCCTGGACCATTGACTCCAAAATTCCCTTGTCTTTTTTTAATGGGATTCGGGTGTCACAGCCGAGGCCAGTGATAATTGCCCTTTGAATTGAGTGGTAGACTGTTTTGAAGGGTAGTTAAGATTAAATTATTGCTGTGGATCTGAGGTCACATGTAGGCCAGACCAGGTAAGGGTGGCAGATTTCTGTTGTTGAAGGT